AGCGTTTAATTACGCACACACTTCCTTATTCACCTTAAATCTAAGCGTATTATGACACAAATATACAGTGCCATATTAAGGTCATGGGCCGAGAGGGCCGTGGCGCAGGGTAGAACATTTTTTAGTCGAAGCAAATATTAGAAAGAATGTTTTTTAGTTATACGTTGAAAAATATGAAGAAATTAGACAACATCGAATAGGACTTTTGTACATAAAATCTGTGTTTTCACGATCGGGACAAATATGATGGTGATGGCTAGGGTGGATTACATAAAGCTCATATGGGTTCGCCTTATACATAGATTGTTTTCCGTTATTCATTATTACTATTGAAAATCTATACCCTAATAGCGCAGCCTGCGGAGATAGATTTTGAGTAGAGTCTGCTACCAATTTTTAATTGCAGAAAGGCAACAAATTGTACACAGAGTTTGTATTATCAGACATTGTCAGCGATTGTTGCTGTTAGAGATATGACAAAGCCTGCTAGATATGCTATGCTAGCAGATTGATGGCAGAAACCGAACAATGTGTTGCAGATTTGACGGCAGATTGAGAGCAAATTGAGAGCAAATTGAGAGCAGAATCTTATTCGAGCAGACACTTTGCTTAATATCTGCCACCAATCTGTTGACATAGCTTGTCAGCAGGCTTTGTTAACAAATCCCTAATCAAATACAAACACTGTAGTTTCTGGTTTTAGCATTTAATTCCGTTAGAATTTTGTGCCAATTTGGCAACGATTTGAAGACAAAATGTTTGCTGGCTGGTTCACATTATGTGAACCATACACTATAGGTTTTAGCATTCATATACTCCGCAATACATTGCCGCCATATTTACCTTATATCTAAACATTTAATACATTTCTTTGTTAGTAAGTAAAATTTGTATTTTATAACTCGAAATATTTTTGCATTTCACTTTTACACTCATTAAATTAGTGTATAACAGCTATAATACGCACCAGTGTGCACTAGTACGACCATTTGAATAACGAATTTGCTGTAACTTATTGCACCAGTGTACACTAGTTCAATTTTATTGTATATAAAAGGGCATTCGAAATATCAAATTTCAGCTCATGAGCGCAAACTGGGTTAAGGGGTTAGGCCACCTTGCGGGTAAAAAAAAGAGCGAATTTCGCGAATTTTTTTCAAGCGTATAATAAGATAAGTCGCTTTTTTCTCTAGAGGTCTTTATTATATACGTATTAAAGTATATAAAAAAATTTTTTTTTAATTTTTTGACGGTAAAATGGCGGCGCTAGTGTCCGATCTTCGAGCAGCTTTTTTTTTATAACTTAAAACGGGCGTACTCGCCGAGCCCCCAGAGTTGATCCTGGAAGAAAAACAAAAATTTGTTCTTTAAATATATACTAAAAACTAATGGACTACGGGCGGAAATTAAACAAAAAAATTTTTTCGCAAAATGGCGGCCGTTAGAAAAAAAAACGCCAATTTTTCGCATAAAAATCACATGATAAATTGTTTATAACAAAAAAAGTTGATGACTTATCGCAAAAAGCTCCCGTAGTCCACTTGATTATAGATGTCAGAATATACTGTAAAAATTTCAAACGATTCGATAAAGAACTGTAGGCGCTAGCGGTACGCCCGTTTTGAAAAATATACTTTCTAGAAAAACGCGATTGAAGTTTAAGTAACTTTTAACGGCCGATAATCACAGTTTACCTTTAATCTGCAATGCCTGGTCCGTAGAGTTGACCTTCCATATTTATGTTCATCGCTTCTTCTTCTTTTCTGGCCGATTTTAAGGCAATACGGGCTAAAATTCAATGGGTAAAACAGTCATCCGAGCGCAGGTAACCGGATTAGAAGCGCGCCGGCTTCAGGCGCGCCGCGGGGTGCTTCGGGAGACTGCCGAAGACGACCTGTTCGAAACTTTTTATGGCCATGGCGTATTTTTTTTCTTATTCTAGAGGGTTTTGGGAAGGCTTTAAGCCAATAAAAAAATTATCGATTTTTTTTGAGGTCCAAGGTGGCCTAACCCCATGCAGCACTGCACGAATATTTATATGTTTGAGTGTGTTGTTTGTTTCTTAACATTTTATTTGGCTGCATACATTTCGAGTTTTGTAAAGTTAAATAATATCATAATATTTTACTAATGTAGCCCCCTAAGCGTGTTGATTGCTGAAGACCTCTTTTTCACAAGGTTTTCATAACAAATAGATTATTCCTTGAACTACAATAGATATCAGTCATGGAACTTTATCCTTAAGATGGAAACGTGAAAAATGAAAATTTTTACCATTGAAGTTAATGGAGCAATTTTTCGCTTTTTACTTTTCATGCTAGGGAATAAGTTTCATGATTGATACCCTGATCGTATCTTTAATGTTAGGGCCTCTTTCATCAACTCTGATTAATGCTAATTGATGGTTAATTCAATCATCACGATTGCCATGTTTGTTCCAAAATAAGAAGAGAGAGAGGAGACATTTTGATATATTACACTACTATTAGCATTTCTGTGAGTTAATCGTCGATTAATTTAATCAGAAGTTGGTGAAAGAAGCCCTTAATCTATAGTTTACGTACATTTACACTTGTAACGTACATTTCATAACCATGACATATGGCCGTTGAACCAATAAGCATTCAACATAAAGATGCCATATTGATTTACATAAGATGCTCTAAGAATCTTATGCAGTACTTATGTAACTTATGTAATTTTGTGTGTGATGGCCTTAAAGGCTTTTACATGACAGCGTCAAGCGTCGAGCGTCAGAACGGTCAGATCATGCGCAGTAAAATGTTTAATAATTTTACTGAAATTGAATTTAATGTACGAGATACACTAATAGTGGAATCTTGTAGTTTACACTATATAATGTAAATAAATATAAATTTTCAGCATTATATGTTAGGATAGTAGTATATCCCTACTGAAAAAAATCACGTCACAAAGTTACATAACGAAATCATGTAATTAAAATATACAGGGTGGGCCAAAAGTCTAGATACACCCAAATATCTCATAAACGATACATTTTAGAAAAAAAATGTTTTAAACAAAAGTTGTAAAGCTTAAAAAGACGCATTTAACGATAGTAGTTATTTGACATAGAATGGCGTTGTCAAGGTCACGTCAAGGTCAACTTAATTTTTTTGAATGGAACCCCCTACTTTTTATTTCAGATTCTTGTAGGTTATGTTAAGACGTTTTCAAAACACATATCATAAACTCTTTTTCGATGAGAATTTCCTGAGTTATGAGTCTTTAAAGTTTAAATATTGCCGGCATTAGAATTATCCAAGATGTACCGCGTGGAAGTTACTCGGTCGGATTTACATCTCTTGCGTGCGTGCGTGCGTGCGTGTGTGTGTCATAAATAATGACACACATTTACACAAATAAAAATATTCACATAAAATAAATATAGATAATGTATTATATATACATGTTAAAGCATTACAATGTACAATAAGAGCATTGAGAATACAAACAGATTAAAAATAATAAAAATAAATAATATGGAGCATTAAAAATAATAAGAGTTCTCTCTCTAAAAAGATTATGTCAATAATCAGTGTCATATTAAGGCATCGAGAGGGCTATGGCTTAGGATGGAAAATTTTTTAGTCGCGGCAAATATATTAGAAAGAATTTTTTTTAGTTATACTATTGGAAAATATAAAAAAATTAGAAAACATCGAAAAGAAACAATTTTTATATCTAAAATATATTTTTTCACGATCGAAACAAATATGCCGGTGACGGCTATATATTGCAGACACAAATGTCTGTCCTAGTACTCGATCGCTAACTTCGATTAAAATACTGTAAACTGCCAGATATCCGGCTGAGTTTATTCAATGGCCTCTTCAATCATGTTGCACATACATACACAACACATACACATATCGTACGCATATATAACACATATATTGTCGCCGCCATTAAATCAACTCGGAAGTTAGTGATTTGATGCTAATATAGATATCTATGATTGCATAGCATATAAGGTGGATTACATAAAGCATTACTTATAGGTTCGCCTTATACATAGATTGTGTTTCGTTATTCATTACTAGTACTGAAAATCTATAGTTCACATTATGTACACTATTATGTACACATTATGTAGACTTTAGCAGCCATATACTTCGCAATACCGCAATACATTGCCGCCATATTTGCATTGTATCCAGACTTTTACTTAAGGATCTGTAATAAAAATCTGTTTTTAATATTCCAAAGTGCTAGTACTGAACTAGTGCAATAGGTTCAATTGAGACAAATTGTATTTATCGCACTCTAATAGTGAATTCGTTTGGATGCACTCAGTGCACTAATTTAATGCAAAGATTTGTGCTTATTATAATACCAGAACCGATTAAATTATAATACAGAAATTGCTATAAGTTATCTTAATAAATATCTCCGCTATTAGATGACTGAAATCAGTTACCTAGTAGCGGAAATATTAAGAATGGCACGATTATATGCTAGTCATGATATCACCTTTCCTTTTAATAATAAGTGGACGATAATTAAAGGGTGCGGAGATGACCTGTGTATGTATGTATTTTAGCATGGACTAAATTATTTATGTCTGTTGTAGAAACGTGTTATACATTGTTTTTCCAAAACGTTTTAAATTTAATATTAAATATACGTATCTTAATAAAAATTCTCGTTAAAATCTTCATAAAATTTTATTACGAATCATAATTTGCAAGATTAAATTGGATGAAAGGTTATCGGCCGTAAACAAACTTGTTCATGTAAACAAGAAATTCTCTCCGATGAAGGATACGCACGAAACAACATATGAAATGCATGAGAACGAATTTATCGTCGCAGAGAAGAACGATTTGCAGATTGTTTACATGAACAAGTTTGTTTACGGCCGATAACCTTTCGCGGTTCTTCTTATTTTTCCTCGATCTTTTCCTTTCGAGACCCGTTGCTTTGTGCGACTTCAATTTAAACGATTAATTTTTTTGCGTTGAAATAATTGATCGATTATGGCGACGATAAATGCTGAAATGGCTGCTCAAGTTGTTGCTTTAATTGAAGATGGTAGAAGTCGAAGGTACGTTGCTGAGGCACTTGATTTATCAGTGTCAACTGTGCAACGTGCTTGCGCCAGGTATTTAGAAACCAATTCTTTTCAGAGGAAGCCTGGTTCGGGACGCCCTCGATGTACCAACAACAACGATGACAGATTTATTGTTTTGAATTCTTTAAGAGACAGACATCGAACATCAGTTCAAATTCGAAACAATTTGAGGGACGTGCGCAACACTAATGTATCCGTTTACACCGTTTGGAGAAGATTAGCGGAACAAAATCTGTTTTCGCGTAAGCCAGTGGCTGTACCTTTACTTCAACGTCGTCATCGCGTAGCTTGAATTAATTTTGCAGTTGAACATAAAGACTGGACTCACGCAGACTGGAGCAAAGTTCTTTTTAGCGATGAATCTCGTTTTTCTCTCTATTCTCCAGATGGACGAGAACGAGTTTATCGTCGCAGAGGAGAACGATTTGCAGATTGTACTGTAAGTGAGAGGCACAGCTACAATGGAGGGTCTGTAATGGTTTGGGCAGGAATTTCTGCAAATGCTCACACAGATCTGCACTTCTTTAACAACAATATGAACGCAGATGTATACGTG